AGCACTGTACGCTGGTGCGCCAACATGTACGCAGCAGGTCAATTTCAGTATGAGGGAGTGAAGTTGGACGACGGCAAGACAATTACTTACAAGGAGTGGGCCGACTTGATCAAGGCCAACTTTGAACGGTGCTTTTACGTCCCTCACTCTGCTGAGGAAGACGCAAACTACGACGTCAACCCCAGTATCATCAACCGCCGAGGAATCTACAAGGATTTGTACCGGTCGGGCAAGGAGTATGAGGACTACCAATTGAGGCCCAACTTCCCTGTTATGTTGGTAGTTGCTCCGGACCTATGCAAACCCGAGCACGCTCTGCATGCTCTCCAGATGGCCGACAAAGTGCTCCTAGGACCTCAGGGCATGAAGACACTTGACCCCTCTGACCTCAACTACCGGGGCTATTATATCAACAGCGAAGACTCGACCGATTTCCACACGTCAAAGGGTCGTAACTACCATCAAGGACCTGAATGGGTCTGGCCTACGGGTTTCTTCCTGCGCGCCATGCTCAAATTCGACCTTCAGCGCCGCAAGACGCCCGAAGAGCGCATCGAGAGCTACCAACAAGTCACGCGTCGTCTGGCCGGTTGCATGAAGGCTATTCAAGAATCTCCATGGGCTGGCCTGACGGAGCTGACGCAGAAAGACGGCGACTTCTGTGGCGACTCATGTCCCACGCAGAGTTGGAGTGCTAGCTGCATCATCGATTTGTTCCAGGATGCACGGGAGTATGAAATGGCAGGGTCGAATGGCGTTAGCAAGTAGTTTGGGCAATAGGCCCATGTGGTTGGGGGATTTCCAGGTTGTAATTCGTGGTTGGTACAAAATAGTTTGGATATTGTGACATATGGAATGATGATATAGCATGTGTTCTTGGATACCGTGTAATGATCTGTAATCTCAGTATGTTATTGTGGTTGTCTCACCTTGAAGATGATATGTGATGTAGAATCATAATGCAGTTTTTATGTCTTGTCTCTCTCTCTCTGAAAGTTCTTCACTGTGCTATGGCACACTGATTTAACTCGACTTTGTACAAACGTACACACTCCATTTTCCAAAAAAAAAAAATCAATATCTCTCTACTACCATAAATTTCGAGGGTTACTATGTATCGACATCATCTGTAGTAGTACAATCACCATCACACACACAGATACTACCTATTTCTATACCTTTCTTGTCCTTTCGACTACTGCCACTTGTGCACTTTTCCCGCTTCAAGGCCAATTTACCCAAAGAAGAAGAAGTAGAAGAAATTCCCCTTCCCTTTCCGTAACGAGAGTAAAATTTTTTTTTAAAAAAAAAATTAAAATCCTGTAGATTAGAAACACGGTAAGAAGACCCAAAATGGATGTTTTAAAAAAACAGGTCTGGTGTTATGTTCTTGTGTGTGTGTGTGTGTGTGTGTGTGTGTGTGTGTGTGTGTGTGTGTGTGTGTGTTTTGGTCATAGAAAACAAGGTTGGTCGGGAAGTCGGGTATTCGCTCCTAGATGAGAGAAGTCTCGGTCGTGTGTGTCGTGTGTCGTGTGTCGTATTCGGCCTAGTAACCGTAACGTTTGGTATCGTCATCACCCAATATTACCGAACAGATGGGGAATAGAAGAATTTGGAATGCAGAAAATTCGCCAGCTAGCTGGTCTGGGCGTTAATGCTGGCGAGATAGAAAAAGAGACTTTTTTTTGGGCATTTACCATGTTTGGTAAATACGTATTGTTTAAGGGGAGGGAGAGAGAAGGTTTACTATGCAATTTCGCTTTTCCCTGTTGTTGTTGTTTTTTGGTTGTTTTCTATCTGTATAGGAAGGAGAGGTATACGTGCCACACGCGCCATCTCTCCCCTTGTCTCTTTACAGTTTTTTTGTATGCAAATAATGCTGGAACTTATTTTTTCTCACTTTTCTCGTCTGGTTCGATTCTCGTGCTTCTTCTTGTGGTTGATTTCCGTGTATCTACCTTTTGTTTCGAGTGACAACTCTGTGATAGGGGTACTGTATGCATTAGGAAAGCCCACGGCATTGGTGCAAGTTCGATGCCCAAGGGGGCAATGGGTCCGTCTGTATTGATAGAAATCCCGATCGATGAAACTCGGAGTGACAGAAGGGACTTTACTCGGTTGGTTCGTCGCAAGGCCGAATGTGGAGTTGAGATATAGGGTACGAGAGAGGGAATTGAAGCGATTGGGCAGAAAAGAAAGGAATTGCCGAGAGCAGTAAAGAGAGAAAGAGGTAAATCACCGTGCTATTCGAGTGTCACGCTGTACGAGGGGGCTAGAAGCACCAGACTAGTTCCTCTTTGGGACATAGTGGAGACAGGGCGTACGAGGTTAGACGGTGAACTCGGCAATCGGGCTTTGATCTGAAAAAATTTGCAGACTGTCTAGGTTAGGGATAATTTGCATGTTTCTTTTTTTGCAATGGACCAACTAATTTTCATCTTTTGCGCTTTGCTTTTGTCGTCTGCCTAGCTTTTGGTTTTGCTTTTTCCGCCCAACGGTCAGCAATCCTGAATCTACGGTGCATAAGTACCCCACACCAACCATTCCGATGTGTCGTCTCCGAACGGACTTAGCCAAGGTGCATGCATGCATGCAGGCGCGTAACATCTTCAGCTTATCTTTTTTCCCACTTTGTCCCACTTTGCAATGCGCGATTAGCGTCGCACAAATTTCCGTTTTCTGGGGGTAGGAGGGAAAAGCAAAACCAGATGGCGTAGCAAAAGGAAGTATGTGGGACAGGGGAGGCACGGTTCATTTGGGTGATGACTTATCCCCCTCACCCCTCACCCCCCTTCTTACCAAGTCCACCACCCCTTCTTCCCTTGCCCACCATGCAACATGCAATATGCAATATGCAGACGCCATAGCCGTAGGTGGGAAACGCTAAAAGGATAGGCATTTCCTCCCCCAATTCCTTGTTTCTCCGTAACCATTCAAGGATACATGTGGTTTGTGGCTTGTGGCTACAGGAGTTCAGACAGCGGGCAAGGGGAAAACAAATATAAAACCATAAGGCGGAAAATCGTGTGTGGAGAGGATTACGGGAGTACGAGAGAAAAGGAAAAAATATATGCGCCAAAGAGTTTGGCCATGTAAGCCGACGTATAAGCCGACGTAGGTACTGCGCATGAGACCACCATTAAAGCGGCTACTATGGATGGTGGCTTTGGTAGAGCATAGAGAGGAATGCTTGTATGATCCTCGTTACGATACGTCCCTTTGGGCCTTCTTTCCTTCTTTTTTCTTCCCTCTAGCTAACGCTAGATGTGTGGGCACCGGCTTGCTTGTAGAGTAGGATTTTAGCAAGTCACTTATCGTGTATGATTGGTAGGTTAAAAAAATGGTGCTCAAGATCTGCGCTCTGGGCGTGATAAGTGTTAGGGCGTGTGGATGAGAATGGGCCGGCCTGGCTGATAGTCATCTTGCAGAACAAGGCTGTGGCGAAGGAAAGCGTAGTCTAGAGTAGAGGACGTTGCACCGAGTAGAGCACAGCCTGGGTAACTTGAGGGTATTGTTTGATACCAGGGGACGGCGAAGTCGTGTGGGAAAAGGGGCTTTCTGGCTTTGAGCCGTATCATGAGTGGATCATCCACATGGATGCCCATGATCATACCGCATCCTTACAAGTGTAGATAACCCTTGTATTATCCATGTTCATATAGAAGTACATACGCCTAGTCTTCAAAAGCACGGTGCGTCATTCATACACTTTCTGTTTCTGGAGAAGGCGTGATCATGTGCTCTTTCTGAGAAGAAAGAGGCGCATGGCTGCACGAAGGACTCATAGAGAGACAGCCCCAATTCGCCTCAACAAATAAGCTGTACAAGACGCAGGCGCCTAACATGATCTACAGCGCATAGCAGATGGTGTGTTACAGGGCGATGGTGATGCATGATGTGACCAAGCCGTCACGGATATTATGGGGGTCGCGACGATCGAATTGATTGCTTGCATGGTTTGGGTGTTCCTTGATCTTCTGCCACAGTATAGAAAATCGCAATCTCGCACAACCTTCATCTCCCGTTTGTTTTTAACTCCTCTTGGGTCGATATTCGTGTCCAGTCATGACACATTCAACAACACGGCGGCTGCATAGACTAGAAAGATAGCGCTCCAGTTTTCGACTCTGCAATGACCGATCAGCTGATCAAATACGATCTCCACGTCTCAATGATTCACCCTAAACTGGCGGTCTGTATCTGGTAGCCTCTTTTGCGCTTTTTTCCTATCACAGTCTGCCTTCTTCAGCACCCCTGCCACAGAAACCAGCATGTCACTGGGTTATATTCAACGCTGTCTAGAGCACATGATGGTCTGGAGTGATGTTGTGTTAATGCCAGAGAAGCTTCATAATAGGCCTTCGGTTGCATGGATCCGTGGCCAGAATTGTCCATGTCTAAAACGGTAGGATAAGGCGATCACTGCGCAGCCTTATGCAGGTGACGCGGCACAGGTTGAGAATAGGAGTGGAATAGAACTTCGGCGGAGACAGAATGAATATAAAAGTGATTCCATGTTCTGAAGGCGAATGACGATGTCGGGTAGAAAGATTGCGTGTCTCCAAAAACACGAGACCATTCTGGCAAAGACAACATGGGTATGCAAGCGCTTACCTATAGCGTGTCAAGCGCAGTAGACATGGTCATGAGGTTGGTAGCAACCAGATCGACACGAGCGTCTGGACCTTTCATCGGCCATGCCACCTATCATGCAGTAGGATCGATGGACACGAGGAGCTCAGATGATTTCTTTTTGAAAACATCTAGAAGAACGGACATGGACAATTATTTGAGCCACTAGGCGAAGGATTTGAGGATTCACCGGTGGCATTGAAAAGTGGCTGGATGCCTACGGACGCACAGCCCAAGCCTCACTCGGGACCCATGGCAATGTCGTGCAGGTGAAAAAAAAATGCACAACCGTATCATGTTCGCGAAGGTTTTGGAGCTATCTCCTTCGGTGCAATCCGCGTCTAGGAACGATCCTGCAGGATGATGGCATGGACGTAGACTCCTTCTCTACTGGATACACGCACACTATAACCGCATGGATTCATCCAATCGGCAAGGGTATCTTGTTCTTCGTTCCCCTCGCGCTGTTGTGGATGCACCCATGTGCTGAAGCCTCCGCCCGCCTGCGACAAATGTTGAATCAGCGTAACTGACCCGACTCGTTTTTTTTCACTCTCCTCACAGGCCAATACATTGTTCCAGGAGCAGCGCGTATCCCTTTCTCTGTTGGTTTTGGGGGGTTAAAATAAGGTACGGACGCGGCCCGGATAGCGAGCCCCACAAAGAAATAGGAAGGTAGTGAAACCGTTGGTCCATGCACGCCCAAATCAGACACATTTGAAAGGCATTCATGTGTGAAAGTGAACGGAATGTGCCAAAGCTGACGTATGTTGCTGAATTCCATTTTGTGGATGATAGTGCAAATCCCAGAGCGCCGTTGTTGCTGCTGTTGCTACACAAGTGTAATACGGATTGCCGTTGGGGCCGACCGGTTCTGCTCCAACAGCCCATCACGAGCATGCTCTCACCTATCTTTCCACATAAAACATCAAATGCCGAGGCACGACTGCGTCTGGCTAAAGCAGGGGGGAGGGTACTTTCCGACAAAAAGGACCGACCGACTGCAGAGTGACTTTTTTCCAACTGCGGAACACGCACCTGAAGGCGGAAAGGAGCATTAACCCGGTCGAGTCTTCCAAGGCCCGTTACCCCGTAGCGTGTGCGGCACGCTATTGGGAAATTGCAGTAATGATGACTGCCTATGGAAGCCATAGGTGCATATGCTGGTGACTAGCAAATGGAATGCAGGCAACCGTGTCGATCGGATCCATCGCGCTGTTTAGCAACTGATACGAGCTACGCCTAGATACATCTAGGCACCGTAATGGAGACCCGAGGGCCGGCATGTTGAGACTGACTATCAAGCCATGTTGGAGGAGACACGACCGTCCAAAAAAGTGCCAGGGGAGACAAGAATCGGCAGTGGCAAAGGTAAATTGAGCAATGTTGAACTTGAACTAGCACTAGAAAAGTTGATGTTTGCATCTACGACCGTATTTGCTTGCTGTAGCATAAGGCTAACCTGGGCGAGAGTGTTTTGCATGGCCAGGCGGCTTGGATGTTTCGATGTCGTGCAGGAAAATATGCACGGCTAAGCGAAGTGATAGCTATCGGTTGGACGGTATCAGCAAGAATGCTAGAGGCTTACGGATCTAAGCTGCCGGGGCGAGCTAAGTATTGGTCATGCATCATCTGCCTGCAATTGATCGGCGCGACGTTTCTTCCACGACGATCCTGCGTTGGTAGCTAGCGTGGTTTTGAGGATGCACGAGAACCGGGGAATTGCTTCCGACGGCAGGGATGCAGTGTGAGTGAGTCCAAGGCTTAGCATTCATATGTCTCAACCACTTTGGTGGACTCGCTAATTCTGGCGTGAGACGACACGGGCGACGTACGTGTCTGGATAGCCGCCCATGGGCATGGCTACCTGAGACGGCTGATGTGAGTGCCGGGATGTGACTTTGCCCGGGATAAGACATGTGTTATCGTTGGCATTGCACGGTGTGGATGCAAGCAAGGGACATGTTAGTTAGGGCATGCATTTCCAGACAGAAGAGCAGCGGCATGATATTGAGGTGACGGCTTTCAACTCAGCTTTGGGCTAGGGCTGTAAGCGTCCTGGCATGTGGTGTAACTTGTCAGATACTGGGTCTGTACAACGACAGAAAACACTTGTGAAACTCTGTGGATAGCTGGCTCGGGCAAGAGTCGAAAGCTCAGGTACTCGGGCCGTTGGTCAGTTGCGGTATGCCGTAGTGGCCCTCGGGTGGTGACGAAGTGGATATTGTGCATGAGCAAGTAATAGTGCAAAGAAATGACCGGAAAGAGAGACGTGATGGATAGGTGGTGACCGTAAGAGGCTTGGAGGGCCATTGGTGCGTCCCAATTCAGTCATCTGTCGAGGCTCGCGTACAGCTAACCGACAGGAGAGCAAAAAAGCAACCATGGTCTAGGGCCACGCAATTGAGTGATCTTCGTTAGCGACATATGGCGCTGAAAGCTGGGTGGGATCATTATGCAAGTACCCGAAGAGCGACAACTGTAAGTAACGATTGTCAGACCATAAAGCCAAGCAGGTCCAGAGGGTCGAAAAGGTCGCAAGGCAAGCAAGGCAAGCAAGGCCAACAAGGCATGCGAGTCGTTGTTGCTCGTGACGGGGAGGACATGTGTGATGGGAAACGAGGTGGATGCCAGGCTCTGACTCGGCGACAGATCCTGCAGAGCGACTAGCGGCTCCCAGAATATGTGTGTATGAGCATTTCCTGGCTAGGGGTCTCTGGTAGACGAAGTGCTTGGGAAAAGCTGTGATCGGTCAAGCGTAGGAGTGCAGAGAGGCCAATCAGGGGCGGGTCCGGGTACCGAGGAAGCAGGACGAGGAAGGCGCGGGCGCGGGACGTTTCCTCATGGGGAGTGGTAAATGAGGGTCGGCGCGCCTCTCATCGGTGAAGTCCATGGAGGGCAAGGGTTTCGGCTGTGGTGGATAGGATGGCCGTTGAGCGAGCGCGTCAGAACGGCGCAGGTGAAGCCGGCCAGCTAACGCCACAAGCACCGTTGGGTGCTAGCCGAAACAGACGAGCAAAGGGGGGGAGGGGGCGACAAAGTCAAGAGTGGCGAAGATTGCGAGAGAGAGAGAGAGGAAATGGTCGATCAGATTACCATGTGTAGGGTGAGATGAGCATGTGTGGTGTGGGCTGGGCGAGTGATGTGGTTGTGGTGGTGAGGGCTTGGCGGAGGCGGCAGCGGCTATGGCAGGAGCAGGAGGAGCAGTCATGGCAGCCGCCACTAAACAAGGTGGGCACGACAGCAACGGTATCAGCATCAGCATCACTGTCATCATGGCCGTGTTTGGGCAGAGGAACGAGGTTGATGGATCGGCTGCAAGCAACCCCCTTTTTGTTGTTGTCGATGGAGTTGGCGGCGGGAAGCCCACAGTTGGGTTCACCCGGTTGCAGCCGCACAAGCAGGTGCAGGAGGATGCTCGTCAAACAAGCAAAGGAATGGTGGGACGGGCGGCGGACAGGCAAATTGGACTGGGGCAGCCTGTTGCGGGCGGGCGTGGCGGTGGGAGATGTTTGTGCAAAGGATGGTTTGCAGAGCAGGGCTAGCAGGGAGGGGCGGTCACGTGACGGGTGGGGAGGTAACCACGGCGGTGGTGGTAGGTAGTGGTGGCAGGCTATTCTAGGCGACTGCGTGGCCGCTTGCCGCGGTGGGCGCACGACGACGGCAGGGCAGAGGCACAAGGGAAAACACGGGCGGCCGACGCTGTGGCCGTGCGCAAAGAGGGTGGTAAGCCGCACGGGCAGTGTAGTGGGTGAGTAAGGACAGGTGCGGATGGATGGATGGACGGGTGGGTGGATGGATGGGATGGGCAGACGTGTAGAGTGGGTGTTAGTGCATGCAATAGCAGCTAGTGGTAAGTATGTCGATGGATGGATGGGGAGGGGAGGCGAGGCGAGGCGAGGAGGCGTGTTTGCGTATGGAGCATGTCAGTGGGCGAGGTGAGCACGCAGGAGGAAGGCACGGTACGCATGTATGGACACGCACATGGCAGGCACGTACGTGGTGTAGATGCGTCGATGGAGGGCGTGGTAGACGAGAGGCTGCGTGAGGAGGGCAGACTGGCAGCTTACTTAGTCGCAGAGGGCGGCGGCGGCGAGGGGCGGGTTGGGAGCGTGTGCACAAGCAGTAAGTTCAGGCCCGCCCAACGGATCGCCTGCCGCCAGCCCCGAGCCCCTTGGCGGCTGGCACCCATGCGCGTCTGGCCTCCCGGCCGTAAAAGCGCACGGGGGCTCGTGTGTGGCGCGCATGGGTCCAAGGACGGGATTAGGTCCCCGCTGCATGCCATCGCGGGTGGGTCTCCTGCTCTTCACATTGCAGCAGCGCGTTCCCCCGCAGCCAGCACAAACCAGTGCCAGGCCTACCTCCCAAGCCGCCCCTCGACCAGGGGCGCTCCAGCCGGTTCATCCTCTGCCTGGCCCGCGAGCGGAGCTGCACTGCATCTGCTCGAATCCCAGACCCTTTAGACTCTCCCGTGCGACTGTCTTCCTGTGCCACCCACCGCTTTCCTCTTCACAGCTCCTCCTCCAGCCCGCTGACCGCCGCACCCGACCATATAACCACCGAATGCCATGATGGGCAGCGACTGGCATCCACGCAGGCACCCGCACCCGCACCCGCACCCAGACGCAAACAACTACGCCCATCGCTCGCTCCCCAGCTTCGCCGAGCTGACGTCGTCGTCGACCGACTCGTTGTTGCACCGCCCTCGCGACGCTGTCCCGCCTCCGCCATCACTACCGCCGCCGCAACAGCACCACCAACAACAGCACCACCACCAGCATCACCAGCACCACCAGCCCCAACCACCCTTATCCCATCCGCTGCCTCCAACCCCCGTCGACCGTCCGGCCTCACGCTCCACCCCACCCAACGGCCTTCCTTCTGCAGACTTTGCAAACCAGCCGCTCGCCGCAGACCGCGCTGCTTTCACTCCCATTAATCACGCGAGCCCTCACGTTAGGTAAGTCATGGCCGCCTCGACTCTCATCGTCTCTCTCGCATGCACAATGTCCTTGCCCCAACCGTGCTTACTCGTTTCCCCAGCCCCACAAACACCAGAGCACCTCCAGCTGCGCCCCAGTATCAGAGGTATTCGCAGTCATTACCACACACCACTGCTGCGCCATACAGTCCCCCTCTGTCTACGCGGCCGCCCCAACCCCTGCACGACACGGCGCCGTCGCAACCACCGACTGTCAACACCCGCCAAGACTCTGCCGTTGCTCAGCACTCGTACGACCACCCCAAGGACACTGAGCGCTCTTTTCCTTCATCCACCTTTTCTTTTTCCTATGTTCACCCTCCCCTCGACAGCCGTCGTCAGTCAGCATCTCGCCCCGTCTCGCACCCTATCGGACCATCTGCACCCCATTCTCCTCCAGGCGAGTCCCGCTTGAACCAAAGCCAGCCCCCTCCAGAAACCGGAGCAGCTGGCCAAAGAACGGTGCACCCTCCGCCACAGCCTGCACCCACTCAATTTGCACCAGAGCCTACTAGGTCACCACAACAGGGCCGAGGCCCTGCCGCAACACCA